CCATTCATTCCGATTCTGATCTGCTCTCTGATCAGTGGGACAGGAGCACTATACTCACAGTACCACCTATCTCAGCTGTCAAAAGTAAGGCTATACAGAAGATCAAGCACAATGCTGTGGTCGATCTTCTGTATTGAAGGGCAGGCTCCATAACGAGAACCTGTCACCTCCAAACGCTATCACATGGGGGGGGGGGGGGGAGCTGCAGCGGCCGGAGGAGACAGAGGGAACGCTGACAGGTGCGATCAGAGCCGCCTCTCTGAGTGCCCACCTCGTGGAGCTGAAGCTTCAGCAGTCGGGAGGAGAGAGAGGGAATCGCTCAACGTTGTGATCAGAGCAGTATTAAAGAGCCCCCCCTCCCAGTCCACATCTTTTGGACATTTTTAATCTGCAAGCACTTAATCTCTCCCCTCTTGGCCGCTGCAGCAATGCTGCACACCGGCCCGTTCGGCAGTTGTCGAACAAGCAGGTTACTAACCCACAGAGAATCGTTTTCCAGCCTGCTTGTTCGACGGAAGACGTGCAGTAGAAACGGTCGCACACCTTCCATACACTTTGCGATTATCGTACGATCGCGGAATTTTCCGCGATTCTCGTACGATAATAGTACAGTGTATGGGCACCTTTACAGACATCCCCCCGAACAAGTGAACAGGTGCATCTCAATTTCCATACACAGGCTAAAGAAGACTTGACAACAGGTTTGGAGGATACAGAGGCTCAGGGTTGTAACAAAGTTGACTCCTGACTAAAGTACACCATTGTGAGATGAAGCTCAAAGTAACAGAGGCATCTCTTCCCATATGTCCAGAGGGAATGAGGAGAAAAGTCCTCCCAGCTTAAGACACGGGCTACTCTGCTGGGGCAGAAATGGGCTCTTACCCATGCAGATATCCTTAACGCGGGTGTCCAAGGTACCAACGAAAAAATTCTGTCCATCAAATGACATGTGCAGTCAAACACGTATACATGTCTGCTCCACCTCCCAACACATTAACCAAGGAGTACTCAGCATATCCTCTTATAAAAGATTGTATGGGACATAAGAGCAGAAAAATCCCCCACTAACCCACTCTGTGATAGGGTAGGGCAGCCGCCATGTGCTTTCAGCACCTCATTGATGACCTGATGTACCCTCTCTAAGCACTGCACCACCGCAGTGTTGCTTAAAATAAGAGGAATGTAAATGGAGGCTGCAGGAGTCTAGTCCATTCCACAAATGTTTGACAGACTAGCATCACGGCCATGCCAGGGAAAAAGGCAAGGTCGGCCACAGAAAAACAAAGTTTAAGAGGAATCCTACCAATTCCTAACAAGTGCAGTACATTTCTGAACAACGACTCGTCAAAAGGGAGAGGACTGCGAAACATGCTAGTTGAAAACATTTTACAGGAATCTACCAGACACCACCCACCTATGGCTCAGAAATTCAAGCTCTCCACTGTATCATTTAATGAACAGAAGAGAAATGTAAGGTTAGTGTCATAATAAGGACAGATGACCGATAATAGTTTGTATTTTGTATAGGGCTGCGGAAATTAACGATTAATCGTAAATTTTTTTGATCGATCAAAGTTCTTTGTGATCAATTATAAAGTTCTTTGGCTCCGTACTCACCTCTCCGCCGGCTTCCGGGTCTTCCGTCGGAGATCCGGTGACGTCACCGGACTCCTCCCCCCTTCCACAAGTGGCTCTGTCGGCTAACGAAGGGAAGGGGGGAGGAGTCCGAATAACGTGCTGGATTAGTGTGACCCTAGTTCATTTTACTACTTTATTGCTGTGATGTATGTGTATAGGCCAATGTAGTTGGATGTGTATGTGCGTTATAATTAATCGAAATTAATCGATTAAAAAAAAATTCGATTAATCAAACAGGAAATTTTTAATCATTACCAGCCCTAATTTTCTAATGTACTTTTGTCTTAAGAATTTATATAAAATTTGTGCAAGACAATACTTTCAAAAGAAAGCCTGTTTGACCCTAAAATTACAAATGTGTTACTTGGTATCATACGCAAAGACAAAGCTATAGCTGTATCAATAAGTCTACAGTTAAATTGCAAAAGATTCTCTGGTCTATAAAGGTTATAAAAAGGTATGGGAACTAAAGCAGTTAAGCAGGAGAACTGTAGTCTTTAAAACGAATACAAAATGATTGGATTAGAGATTAGGTATCTATACTATAAAATGCCTTTTTTTGACAAAAGAGGGGAAAGATTACAACTTGCTTGCGGTCCATATCTAGACTGGGTTAATCTCTCCTTACTTCTTGTCCTGGTGCTCGCACAGGAGGTAAGGGAAATCTTAATAATAATTCCTCCATATGATAAAAAAGGTATTGCTGCCTGTGTCCTGTTGACAGGGACACATGTAGCAAAAAAAAAAATATTATTAATATTATTAAATAGCTATACCCATTGTGCACATTATTACTGCCAAAATAGCCAAGTTCATGGTATGTTTTTCATTTGTGTGCAAACCTGACATCATCTATGCTGCCAAACATTTATTTCAAATACAGTAGCAAAATAGAAAATCATTGAATAATTAGTATGTTTGTGTTAAGTAAAGGATAACCATTTGATTTCTACATACCTGTAAGCCTGGATTAATAATATCTTGTAAACATTGATGCACACAGTTCGAAGGCTGTTTATCTACAGTTTAATACAAATATTAGTTTGTGAGATTGTACAATACCAGAAATGTGTTTTGCTCTTTATTGTTTATATTACATTTCTAAAGACAGACTTACTTCAAGGTCAAGGATGAGACTGTGACATTTAAGTTGAAGAACTTTTATAAGTTTATTTTTCAAAGCACTGCCTCTTGCCTTGTAATAGCAAAATGTTAGACTGGATCGAATTGAAGTGCAAGAATATCTGTAGGAATAATTAAACATGTGTAAGCCATTATATAGACAAACTAAATAATAATTTTTATAAAAAAGGATTTTACATCAGAAAATGATATGGCTAAAAATGAAACAATACGCCTTGCAGCAGGAGGGAGTAGTTTCATAAAAAACTTAATGACATATACGTAGGCCCTCATATTCCTGTATATCAGGTTGGTTTGTTAAAAGGATATCAAACACTTCAAATACAACGACCGGATGGCTGCTTCTTGGATGTGGGTGACCCACATTACCCACATTAAACGTACTTCCCAACTTCCTGCTAGAGATGGCTGTTACATACAAATGCTCAGGCAGCTATAGAGCCACCCAATTAATTGTATTCTGTGGGCAAGTGTGCACCCTCTTCCCCCCAACCCCCC